TTTGACTAGAAATGTGATATTTGCATAGGTATGACTACTGGTACAAAAATCAATTTCCTACGATTATCTTCGACTAGGATGTGTTAACTTTAGTACAAATTTAATAGTCTTTCTTGCTGGGTCTTCTCTGTTATCTTCGATTTCGCTGGATATTCATTTTTCGAAGCTGTAAATTACAAAAATAATTTTTGAAAGATAAGATTAAGGTAATATCCGTATATTTCTACTATAGTTCGAAGTATATTTTTAACACTCTTATCTTATTTTGTTCCAGAAAAAAACATCCAAACAGACTTCATTTCAGTAAAAAGCATGTCCTTGTTCAACCGCATTAAAAATCAAAACAGTTTTCTACATGAATGTCCTATTTTGTAGTCAAATAATGCTTTATATCAAGAATTCAGAAACAAAGTTTCGACACTAAGGGTAGTCAACGATGTAGCCGAAAGAGCGATTAAATTAAAGCAAGACTTTCATGGATTAATCACTGTTGAGTATGAATGAATCACGTTGAGTACAAGAACACCGGAAAATTTATCCTGACTCTACCAACGGTACAAACTCTACTCAAAACGTTAAAAAGAAAATTTGAACTCTAATAATATAAACTAATAATGTAAATTAATAAATAATATAATATTTCGGTGTATTGGAGCATTAATTAAGTATTAAAATTAAGTTCTTAATTTCTCTTACAGTCAGTACAAATTTTCATGCCAAAAGTTTGGCATCAAGTCGGCATGGCTTATCGTAGTCCAATCGCAATAATATTTATTTATTTGAGTCAATAAGGTCAATTTGAATGACAATATAAGGTATGCCTATTTGATTTCGCGAAAAAAAATAAATCTTTTATGTCTTGGGAGTTGGGACACCCAACTGTGTGAAGCCTTTTTTTTTACTATTCTTAGTTTTTCAAGGCCGTGTATCTACTGTAAATAATGTTATAATTTACATATTGTTGTAGTTAAACAAAGTCAACAAACAGCCATTGGCACGAGTTGTGCAAATCCTAGTTTTTCATTTACTATGCCAAACACAAAAAATATACAGCGAAAAATTAACATTAAAAATTAATCGGTTATTTCTGAACTGCGAACTAACCGAATACCAAAAATGTATATTCGCCCTTATTTATTTACAAAAGAAAAGTATATGTAAGTATGTTTATCAGTTATCGAGTACCCATAGTACAAGCGTTGCTAAGTTTGGGACTAGAGAACGTTGAGTAAAAATTTGTACTAATATATTTATACAGATTTATTCATAAATTGTGCATGAAAAGGGGCTTCGTAATAAAAGGAAGCAGTTTCGATTTAGTTTTAAAGCCGCCACTCGAAGGCCACTAAAGCTGTCAATTACCTAAACATACTACTGTTTCCACGCGACCCACGTAACTATTGGGCACTTTATTGGCTCCACTTTGTATGTCGGAGACACACAAGAATTGTTTCTGTTATATTAAAGGTAGGCGTCCGACACAAATGAATTTAGTGGGTCTATAACGTCACTGTCATTTAATTTAATAACGAATTACATAATACGACTGTGAAATTTTTAATCCACTTAAAGATTAAAAAGCAGTTCACGTCTCGTTAATCAAATCTCAAACTACTTAAGCTGAAACGGTCAACATAAATAAAGTTAGAGCTAATGCTACTTATTTTTTAACATAATTTTTTTATTATATCAACTACCTAATTATGTGATAACGGACAGTGTTGTATATGACTCTTATGTACCCCGGGCTGGCATTTTGTCCCGACTTATGTGCCGGGTCAAATGCCTTCTGATAAAATTATATAGCGCCATCTTTTCAAATTTTGAACTAGCAGACGACATCTAACATCCAATAGAAATACAGCAAGTACCCCACAAACTCACTAGATGGCGCTGTTTATCATTGTTATTGTCGATTCATAAAAGAAAACAGTGTTTTGTGTAAAAATAATTTAGTCTTTTAAGATGCATTATTTAGAAGAAATATTAAGAATTAAGAAGAAAAACTAAACACAAAATTTGGTTGAAATCGTTACAGCTGTTGGAGAAATCAACGAATGGCTCTTTTAAAAATATGATGAAACATTAGAAATTAACAGTTACAAAAAGCCACAATTAATATTTTTATACTAATAGACAAGGCAGCGGGGGCATTAGTAAAACTGAATATAAGTACAATTAAATATAAGTAAGTAGATGAAATAAATCAGAAAAAAAAAATAAGTTGTAATGAAAAATTGAATAAATCAGCATGACATGGCGTCTAGGACCTCAGTACGCATAGTTACTTTAAGGAGTTTATAAACGTAAAAATAAAAATCTAGATCCGGAACAATGATGATCACACATAAATGTTTGTCGCTTGTTGGAATTGAACCCACGAACCTGGCGCCAAACTAATACCTAATATCTAGCAACTGCGTCCGAGTCATGAAACTAGTAACGGAGTCACGTTGATGAAGAGGTACGTTGAGTTTTTCAATGAAAATACGGAATTTTAAAGCAATTATTAATTTAAATAATAAATATTTTAAGTATAAAACTTTGAATCTAGATTTCTGTAAATAATTTTAAATTTGAAATTATTTAAATCCAAATCAGTTGAACAGTTTTATTCAAAAACAAATAGTTTGCTACTTCGTTAGGGAGTAGTGGATTTTGGGGTTAAGAACATTGAGCAGTTTTATCCTAACAAGTTTTGATAACTGCTGAAACTTGACGCGTAGCTGAATATTTGATTTCGGCTTAACTTTCGTCTGAAAATATATTTTAGTCCAGAGCTAAAATTTATTAAAATATGTGTTTTCATGGGACTGAGTGTGACGTTTCGTTTCACGGAATTCAGTGATAAGATTGGCGCACAATCATGAAGACAATCTTATCACTGTAAATGTTTAAAATTTGAAATTTAATATAATAATATAATTAATATAATAATTTTTGATTTCTTATAATAAATTCCTTACTTCTCGTAACGAATTTCAAACAATAATACATTTCAAGCGAAATTGAAGTAACGATTGGAGAATAGAAATATTTGAAATATCGACACAGTGTACTTTCGACACAAGCATCATTCTAATTTAATACATCGAAGATTTTAATTTCTTTTCAACCGACTTCGAAAAAAGGAAGTTCTCAATTCGACTGTTTCTTTTATGTTTATTACCTCATAAGTTTTGATTGGGTGGACCAATTTTTTCTATTTCATAGCTGATACTTTCCATGTGGTCCCATATAGATTTCATTGGTATTGGGTCTTGGGCTCCGGAGATACTTCTGAAAATCAATTATGAAATGAATACACAGTGAGATATTTGATGTCAGTTTTGTTTTTGTAAAAGAATGGTTATTTGTATGAGCTAAAACAGAAGAAAATGATACGTAAACAAATAAACCTAATGATTTGATGAAAGAATATTTGGTCCAGCGGAAACTTTTACGTAGCACGTTTTCATAATATAGTAATTAGCCCCCACATTGAGGTTATACCTTCCTAACTTTAACGTTGGGTAATTATATTGAATAAAGCCATTTAGCGGAACGGATGATGAGTGTTGTAATTTTAACTATTAGCACTAATATTTTGGCACGCACAGATAACAGATACATAAATGTGAAATATAATGTCTATGTTGTAATAGTTTTATGAATTTAGAAAACCTAAAAAGATGTTATACTCACATAAAAAAGCCATTCACTTATCATTTTGTTACAGCTAAGTTAACTCTATATTTGTTTAATACATGGTTTGGTTCATTAAATAAAAATTGTTGTATTAAAAATGTCACTTGTTTGAAATTTATGAATTTATAACATAATTGTTTTGTTAAAAAAATAGTATAAAAATAGATGATAATACTGTAAGGAAAAATTAATGATAATAATTTGTATTGACATTATCAATATTGAGCCGTGATAGCTCAATGTCCGGGCGCTCGCCTTTAATTCAATTTACTCGAGCAACCTGAGCTCGATCCCCGGTGCCAGCACCAATGAAACTGTTGATTTTAAGTGCTGACTTATCACGTGCTCAGCGGTGTAGGAAAATCGTGAGGAAACCTGCATATTTTCGAAATAAAAACAAAAAACATATTTCGAAAATATATGAAATCCGTACATCCGCAGTGGGGCCGCTTGGTGGACTATGTATGCCCTCTGTACAGAGGGGGCCTTTGCCCAACAGTGGGACATTTGATGTTACTTTTATGACATAGGCTGTTACTTTTTTAATTTATTGTCCATATGTTTAGAATATGAAGAAAGGCTGGATATGTCCCACTCCTGGGCAAGGCCCACCACGCGATCCCGCTGTACAATAATAATAAATTTACAATTTCATTGGTGCTGTTGGCACCGAGATTTTAACCCTGATTGCTCGATTGTATTGAATTTAATTCGAGCGCTCGAAACCTGAGGTATCACGGCTCTAACTGCGTCAATAAACACATAACAATTATAATAAATAAATACTACCTCCAAACCACACCACAGTAGTTATCCCAAGTTGCAGGCTTTTCAATAAATTAAAAGCATGCACTAAGAGAAACGGACAAGTTCTTTTTAAAACGTAAAATAAAACCGACCGGCTTCAAATTTCGCCCTTACATAAATGATTTTCAGGAGTAATGTAAGTATCTCAACAGCACAAGATCCAATACGAATGAAATTAATATGAGACCACATGCGAAGCACTACCCTTCAAATAAATGAAGAATCATCAAAATCCGTCCATCCAGTCGAAAGTTATGAGGTAAAAAACATAAAAAAAATACTGTCGAATTGAAAACCTCCTCCTCAGTAATACATAGAGGGCACACTTTCCACCAGTTCTATTTTCTTCTCACCCGGTATTTAAAGTATTTGCGGATGCTAGAGCTAAGCGGCCTCTGGTTCACAAATTCGTTTTATCTTGCGTATAGACCATGAGGGGATGATTTTATTTATATTTATTTTTATAGTGGTCGCGCCAATAAGGGAGGTTTCTTCGATAGAATTTAGTGGACTGTATTGGTACATACAATAAGCAGAGCTAGGAAGGTGGGCGAGATGCACGTACTAACCTTGCGACGGCAGCCAAGCGCTCGCGCTCCCTGGGATGCAGCCAACACCGGCGGGCACGCCACGTAGTTCGGTACACGCACTTTGCAGTGTTCAATAAGTTCCTGGATAGCCACACTCCACACTCTCGACTTATCGTAATCGCGGAAGGGCGCGACACATCAATAGGGAGCGTTACTAGGACTCAATGTCCGGGATAATTAAAATATAACGAGGAGCGCAATGTCACTCGTGCGGTTGCGGGATAACGACTTTTTTTAAACTATCGCCGCCGCGCGGCGCTAGCGACGCCTTAGGCGGCAGTACGTGCAATAGGATGAATAAGGTAAGGGAAGGGTAATGGATGTATGTACCATATATTAATTTAATTATTAAATTATGCTTAATTGGCGTAACCATTTCCTCCCGCCCTTAAAGGGTCACCTTTAAAGACAACCATAAGATAAACGTACTTAAAGTAGAACAGAGTAAGAGATAGCGCGCATTGCGCATTATTGAACATACTTATTATACGATAGAAATACATATAATATACAAATAAATATTAGTAATATTGCGGTTTGACTTATTTTAATATGTTTAAACTAACTTATCTGTTACTATCTTAATATATAAGAAGGTAAGTGTGATTGATGCGGTTAAATTATTGGTTCGGGAGAGGACAAATACGAATAACAGGACGAAGGTAAGTCCCCTTAGCGGTTCTCACGGTTACTACACGAGCTATACCATCCTTTGAAGGATGAACTGACTCGACAATTGCTAATGGCCAAGCTAGGGGTGGTACGCTATCGTTAATTACAATCACGACGGTACCTGGAGTGATAGGCGCAGACAATGTATTCCACTTTTGCCTAACTTGTAACCCGTGTAGATATTCCATCCTCCACCGATTCCAAAACGACTGGACTAACTTATCCAGCAAAGAATGTCTGTGAAGCAGACTGACTTGGTCGGATTCTACTTCAGCTGCGGGTAAAGATAATAAAGGTGCGGTGTTTAAAAAATGGCTCGGAGTAAGAGCTGTAGGCTCTGCGGGATCAGAACTTAATACTGTTAGCGGCCGCGAGTTAAGCAAGCATTCGATTTGCGTAAGTACAGTATTAAGCTCTTCATACGAAAGTAACTGTTGTCCAATAACTCTGAACAAATGCGTTTTAATGACTTTCACCATACTCTCCCAGACGCCTCCAAAATGAGGGGAATTGGGACAAATAAACTTCCATGTAATGCGGCTTTCGGCGCACTCCTGTTCGAGCTTTGGGCGATATTCTAGGTTTATAAACTTATAAAGATCGCGAAGATACGAAGCGGTGCCTTTAAAGTTCGTTCCGTTATCTGAATATAAAAACTGAATTGGGCCTCTTCTGGAGAGGAAACGTTTCAGCGCGGATAGGAAACTAGGAGTACTTAGATCTGTAGTGACTTCAATATGGACGGCCCGAGTTGTAAGGCACGTGAAAATACATAAATACGCCTTTTCACTACGTATACCGCGTCGGCGTACAGGAGTGTATGCGATGGGACCGGCATAATCGCAGCCCGTATGGGTAAACGCCTTAACGACTTGACATGTACGACTTTGGGGTAGATCAGCCATCAATGGGTAGGTCGGACGCGGTTTAAGCCGAAAACATATATTGCACTTGTGGACTCTTTGCCTCACAGTGCTGCGTGCGGATAGGATCCAGAATTTTTGACGAAGTAGCGACATCAGTAATTCAGGCCCGGCATGTAAATGTTTAATATGATAATAATCAATGATCATGTTCACTACATGATCACTGCGCGGTAATATAGCGGGATACTTATGACTGTAATCTAATACGGAATTGGAAAGACGACCACCTACACGGATCAGACCGTTGTCTATGAATGGTCTTAAACGATTAAAAGCGGGTGAGCAAGGTTTACAATTTTTAATATTTATATATTCTGCTGCAAAATATTTATTTTGCACAGCGCGGAGAATTAAAATCTCAGCGAAACTGAGATCATCAGCAGTCACTGCAGTAGTGCTGCGGCGGGGCAGTAACTTGGCAAACTTACATACGTAAACAATTATACGTAGAAGTTTACTCCAAGAAGAGATGCGGAGAGCGAGGTCATATAATGTACACTTATCAACAGATGTGCACACAATGTGCGACAATATCCTCTTCTCGGGAATGTCTGCAATAATCTCTTCACCTAACGTTCGAAGTGGCCACTGAGACGGATCTAACGAAGTCCACTGAGGCCCATGAAGCCACAGAGGGTGTGAAATTAACTTATGTGGTGTAATACCACGCGAGAGGATGTCAGCGGGATTCTCGGTGCCAGCGACATGGTAAAAGCTATCAGCGGGAATATTGTCTGTAATTTGAACAACGCGATTTGCAACAAATGTTTGCCACTTGTGAGGCGAACTTCTTATCCAGTACAGAACGACCTTTGAATCTACAAAGGCGTAGACTGATATTGGGTAACCAAGAGAGTAGTTGTCGAGGACTCTGCGAAGCAATTTTGACAATAAAACTGCTCCACAAAGTTCGAGGCGAGCGATGGATAGTGGCTTTGTTGGCGCAACTTTAGTCTTAGCACAGACCAACCGAACGGTATTACCATTGATCACATTTACGTGTAGGTATACAACGGCACCGTATGCATGTTCACTGGCATCGGAAAAACCCATGAGGGTGACAATACAATTTTTAGTGACACCAACATGTCGTGGGATACGTAAATTATTGAGATCTGGTAATTCAGCACAAAACTGCTTCCACATCTTAATGATGGGCGGCGGCGGTACATCGTCCCAGTCTAAATTAAGTTGCCAAAGCTGTTTTATTAACAACTTAGCGTACACGACTGTGGGAGCAACGAAACCCATTATGTCCCACAGGCGGGCGACAGTAGATAAGATGGAGCGCTTAGTGCACGTCACATCATCGGGAATAGATATTTTAAAATAGAATTCGTCACTATCGGTAGACCAATGCAAGCCTAATATCTTATGCTGCATCGATTTATCGAACTCCACTTCCTTTGTAATTTTATGAGAAGCAGGGAGGTTATCTAAAACGGATTGATAGTTGCTATTCCATTTTATAAGATCCCATTGTGCACCCTTGAATAAGTCAATCAGCTGCTGAGAGGCTTCACTGGCTTCGGACTCACTAGGCAAGGAGAAAGCGACATCATCCATGTATAGTGAGGTAGATGCGATACGACTTGCGAGTGGATACATCGCGCCGTCGTCATCGATAAGCTGTCTCACCGTGCGCAGTGCATGGTAAGGACTCGATGTTAAACCGAAGCATACGCGATTGAACTGGTACAGCACAAGTGGGTCATGTGGATTGAAGCGGTATAGAAAACATTGATAACGACGATCAGAATCACGAATAACGATCTGCAAGAATTGCTGGCGACAGTCGGCTGTCATAGCCACTGGATGTAAACGGAAATTTAAAATAATGTTGAATAAATCGCCTTGCAAATTCTGCCCTGAGTGCAAGACGTCGTTTAGCGATCGGCCAGTGCTAGTCTTACTGCTAGCATCTAGGACAATGCGCAGACGAGTCGACTTCTTGTCTTCACGTAAGACTCCGTGATGCGGGATAACATAGAATGGAGTGATTTCACGAGAGTCATATAGCGGTGCGGGTGAAATATAATCCTTGGCTAAATATTCCTTTATGACGTCATCATATGCCAACCTTAATGTAGGTGAAGCTTCTAACTTTCTTTCTAAACACATGAAGCGTCGTCGAGCAGTCTCGTAAGAATCTCCAAGAGAATAAACGTCGTCTTTAAATGGCAGACCAACAATGTATCTGCCACTAACAGGATCGCGTGATGTCGTCGAATTATAAAACTCTTCACATTCAATGTCAGAAGGACACTGAATGGGCGGCGCGGAAGGAGGCTGTTCAAGCTCCCAAAAACGTTGCACTAATTTTTCAATATAAGGAGACTCTTGAACTATACAACAAGTTAATGACTTACTCATTTGCAGTGTCGGTACGGAACCCATAATGACGTAACCAAGCACCGTGCGTATTGCTGCGGGCCCAGAGGAATCATAAGAACGAATTACGCCAGGACATAGCAAGTGTGGGAAAAGAGATGCACCTATCAATGCATCTATTTTATTAGGCACGCCGTAATATTCATCGGCGAGCTGTAAGCCATGAAACTGTTTTAGCACAGATGAGTCTACTAAAGCGGTGGGCATTTCGTCGGTGATTTGATCGACCACTAGCGGTGAAATATTATAATTAATATTTTGGTCAAAGCGGGAGAATATATTAATATTAATAGATTTTGTTTTAACGATTTTTTCTACTCCGCCGAATCCCTTTATTGTAGTACATTCGGCGTCATGAAGCTGAATTCCTAAGCGGTGACAACATTCCTTAGTAATAAAATGACTTTGAGATGCTGAGTCTAATAACACGCGAATTATTTGTTTATCTCCCCGAGCGTCGTATGTAAGGACTTGAGCGGTTGAGAGTAATACGGTACTCCGCGAATCGTTCGCACGCGCAGAAGGTGACGATTGTTGCGAAACGTTCGCAAACGAAGTACACAGAGCGACGTCCGAACGCGCACCCGAGTTGAGAGGTGGCGATTTAACGCGCGCGGTATGAGCGGGTGGCGCAGAATTAAGTACAGGTTGCTGAGGCGACAGAGCGTGCGCCGGCGCAGAGGATGAACTATCGCTTCCACGCTGGAAGTGCAGCAATGTGTGATGTTTACGCTTACAAACTCGACAGGTATAATTTGATGAGCAGCCAGATACTCGATGGCTTAAACTGAGACAGTTAACACATGCATTGTTACTCTTCACGCAAGTAAATCGTTCCTGCGGTGTCATTTTATTAAACTGCGGACACTTAAATAAGTGTTGATGCACAATGTTATTACACAAACATTTGTTAGAACAACTAGTCGTCGTACTAACGTAAGTCTGATACTTCGGCGACGAAGTATTGTTACAGCGGCGGTTACTATTATTGTTTCGACGAATATTCGTTATACTATTTGAATTTATACAAGTGTCGGTTCGTTGCAGAACTTTAGCGCGGGTTTTAATAAAATTAACAAAGTCCTCAAATGTAGGAATCGATGAGCTATGATTTATTCGAAAGTGCGAATAGTATCCGAATCGAGCTTCTTAAGGGCAATATGAAGAACGATCAAATCCGCTAGATTGTCTAACTTTAAGTTTTGTAAAGCGCGCACTGCACTAATAAAGTTATCAGTAAATAAATCAAAATCATTAGCGGAAGCCGAAAGCAATGGTTTGAATTCGAACATCTGATTTATATAAGCGGAGGCTAGCATACGTTTGTCTTCGTATTTATCGATAAGTGCTTGCAATAAAATTTTATAATTTTCAGCGCATGGAGTTATGCCTGAACATACAGAGAGAGCCTTGCCAGTAAGCTTACCAAGTAAATAATATAACTTTTCAGCATCGGTGAGCGATGGATTATCGTGAACAGTGGATTTGAAGCTGGTATAAAACAAAGGCCATGAGCGAATATCACCCGAAAATGTCATTAATTCGATAGGCGGAAGTGCAATGCTAGTTTTAGATAAAACATTATTATTATTCTGTAAATTACTAGTTTGGGAATATTGTAAACGAAGTCGACTTATTCTTCCGTAAAGTGACTCAAACGTAATAAGACTGTTATAATCGGGCTTCGCGATAGGATTTATTTTTAATAAATGAGTGTTATAACTATCTAAAGTCTGTTTAAATTCAATACGTAATGCATCGATATTAGAACTTTCGTCAAGAAAACGTTCCAACATTAAAGTATTTGTATCAATGTTCGTAGACATGTCATATATTTTTTGCACTATTTCAAATATGGCATCGCGTTTAGCTAACAATAAAACTAACGCGGCGTCAGGTGTACCCTCATTATCCGAGGAATCACTTTTATTCGATGCAAGTTGTTTCTTTGGCGGCATTATAGCTAAAGTTATGCTACTAAATAAAGTTGAAAGTAAACGAAGCGTGATTTACGTACAAGTGCACGACTTCGCTAAGCGGTCGGATAATACGCAGTTAGAAATATTTGTTAATATTATCCAATAGCAATGTAATATTAATATGAAACTTATGGGATATTTAAATACGAATATACGGAATATATATGTATGTAAATAAATCCAAGAATAAACTGTATGGTTTATAAATTATAAAATATATAAGCGGAATTGTTTGATAAGTTAGATGACGCAATGTCATTCAATATGAAAGGTTTTAAAATTAAGATAATTGGTTAGTAATTATATAATGTTATACTGATATCACTTATTAGGGCCTATCTTAAGTATCCTAATAAGGGCGGAAGTTCTGCGGTTCGGTGGACCAAATATAAAATGCGGCTCGCTAGGACCACTAAAATGATGGTCGCGCCAATAATGGTAGGTTTCTTCGATAGAATTTAGTGGACTGTATTGGTACATACAATAAGCAGAGCTAGGAAGGTGGGCGAGATGCACGTACTAACCTTGCGACGGCAGCCAAGCGCTCGCGCTCCCTGGGATGCAGCCAACACCGGCGGGCACGCCACGTAGTTCGGTACACGCACTTTGCAGTGTTCAATAAGTTCCTGGATAGCCACACTCCACACTCTCGACTTATCGTAATCGCGGAAGGGCGCGACACATCAATAGGGAGCGTTACTAGGACTCAATGTCCGGGATAATTAAATATATAACGAGGAGCGCAATGTCACTCGTGCGGTTGCGGGATAACGACTTTTTAAACTATCGCCGCCGCGCGGCGCTGGCGACGCCTTAGGCGGCAGTACGTGCAATAGGATGAATAAGGTAGGGGAAGGGTAATGGATGTATGTACCATATATTAATTTAATTATTAAATTATGCTTAATTGGCGTAACCACATAGGTCGATATTGCCCTTCACTACTTTTAATAAGCGAAGGATAAACTAACTAAGCTACTTGCTTAGTTATAGCCTAACTAATGATTAAATTGATATGTCAAAATTTCTTATTCGACATCTACTCGGGGACTTCCCTGTCTAGTTCGGAATAGTATACCTAAAAGAAAACTGCTTTATACTTAAATGTCACCATTACACACGTGCCTTGATAGCTCAGTGGCTGGGCGCTCGCCCTTTAATTCAATATACTCGAGCAACCTGAGTTCGATCCCCGGTGCCAGCACCAATGAAATTGTTAATTTTAAGTGCCGAATTATCACGTGCTCAGCTTTGAAGGAAAACATCGTGAGGAAACCTGCATATTTTCCAAATAATAACAAAAAAGAATATTTCGAAGATTCGTGAAGTCCGCCAATCCGCAGTAGGGCCGCGTGGTGGACTATGCCCTGATACCCTCTGTACAGAGGAGGCCTTTGTCCAGCAGTGGGACATGTATAGGCTGATACTTTACTTTACATACGTGATCACAAATCTTTTCCATCCATTACTAACTAAACAAAATGCGAATTTAGAGATTGCAAAACGAATATTACTCATACCGAATGCGTGTCCTCGGAGTGGTACAAAATGTTCTAGACTGACTGTGGTCAATATTTTAGAAGTAGGGCCATGCAACAATTTCAGCTGTTTTACGAATGGGCAGGACCGTCCAGTTAAGTACCGCGACCTCATAGAAGACCAGCGTGAAGTGGAAGTACAAAAAGGTTGTCAACGCATCTGCAAATCCTCGGGTGTAGCAGAAATCCATGGGCGGCGGTATTCACTTAACATCCGTCTGCTAGCTTGATAACTTTTAAAATAAACCATAAGCCGTAAAAAATATGCTGTCTGAGTTATTATTATTATCTAATAATGACCACTATAACATAAATAAATATACACACCAAAACAACTACATTCCTGAGACAAAACTGTTCATGTCAACGTTATCAAAAGTTAACAACGAATGTTTCGCATACGCCGCGGCGTCAGAAATAAATGATTTACAAAACCCTGCTGAAAAAAGATAACATTGAAATGGCTCATAAATCGGCGAAGGCGAAGTACGCAACGGTGCATTTCGTTTTTATGGATACTGCATACGTTACTATGCTGTGACAGGTGATACTCGTATTTTTATGGTTCCGTACCCAAAGGGTAAAACCCTATTACTAAGACTCAGTTGTCTGTCAGTCGGTCCGTCATGAACCGTGTAGTAAGACAATTGAAATTTTCACAGATGATGTATTCCTGTTGCAGCTATAACAACAGATCTAAAAAGCAGAATAAAAAACATTTAAGTGAGGATCGAACCCTCGATCGATCGATCGAGGGTTCGACTCGAACTTGGGTTTTATTTATATTGATTTATCTGGCCAGGGTCCAGTGCATTTATGCCTACCGCAATTTATAGGGATGCACAGTAAAACAAGAGTCATAATGAATTTAACTAATGCAGACATTCACGTCTTTTATCTTGTATCTTGTATTAACTGATGTTTTTGCTTTCAGTCCCGAGACTATTAAAGCTTCATCGGACGCAGAACCGGTGGGCTAGCCAGAACCCACGGGTTTGGACCCTCCGCTATGGGTAGGGTCGCGCATGTGCTCATGCGTGCGTTTAACTACTATGGTGTGTCATCTAAGGGCCGTCGAGGTCGCCGGTTCGGACCGAGACCCCGACGGCCGTCGACTGTGCATTTAGCTAATCGGTGACTGGGAGCGGTGAGAACCGCCCCGGAACGCGGGTGTACCTTGTGTACGCGTTGTGTGGGTCTCGCCGTGCTCGGAGGCGAGGGCGAACTGGTGTGATTGTTGTTACACTAACTGTGGGTGTAGTGTTATCCGGCGGGACCCCCGGCGGTGGGACCATCGTATCTAAGTCCTCTTCGTCGACCGGGTCGATGAGGACGTTTCGCGGGCGACGCTTGTTTACGTTCGCGTTTGTGTCCGGTTGGTAGTTTGCTGCGCTTACCACCAGAGGGTTGGGATGATGCTGGACTCTATCGAAGAACCGTTTTGTCAAATCTTTAAAATGTGCGCGAATCGTCGGGAGTCTGCAATCGCTGTAAAGGTCGACGTTGCGCTGATACCACTGCGCACCGGTTGCGCGGCGGATAAACTTATTTTGTACTATTTGCAACTTGTACAAGCGAGTAGGGTGCGTGTGGGCGAAGATCATGCATGCGTAGAACATAATAGGTCGTACGCAGGTCTTATATAATAATAATTTGTGCCTTAAGGGCATTTTACTTTTAGCATTAGTTAAATTGTGTAGCCGGCCGGAGACGAACGCGGCTTTATTACGAACGTTATTAATGTGCGTAGTAAATGACATACGCGAGTCGAAAGTGACTCCTAAGTATTTGACGTTTTTCTCCCAGGGGAGCGGTTGGCCATAAAGGGATATTTGTCCCAACTTTCTGCATTGGCGAGGGCCATTATAAAGATGTGACGGGTAGGTACTTCGTGTGAAGTGAATCACCACACTCTTTTCGGGATTAATATCGATTCTACATTTGCGGAACCAATCGCCGAGGCGGTCGGCGGAGCTTTGGAGTCGAGTTGTTAATTGACTGAGGTTGCGATCTGAGTAAAAGAGCGCCGTGTCATCCGCGAAAAGCGCGAGATTGACGTGGGGGTCTCTAGGTAAGTCGCTCGTGTAGAGCGTAAATAGCAAAGGAGAGAGGCAGGAGCCTTGTGGAACGCCGGCCGTGAGGCGGTAGCTTGTGGAGAGGGTGCCCTCGACTCGATATCGAAAAGAGCGGTTCAACAAAAAGGCCCGGATGATGTGTACGAGCCTATCTGGCACTTTGAGTGTGTACAGCTTGTAAAGCAAGCCGTTGTGCCAGACTATGTCGAATGCTTTGAATGTTAAGGCCTTTTAGGATGTGCTCCGTTAGGCGGTATAGCTGATCGGGACAAGAGTGTCTAGCTCGAAAGCCGAATTGTTCCGTCGGCAGAAGGCCGTTGGAAAACACGTGCTCTTTGAGCCTGTTTAACAATAGCCGCTCGTAGAGCTTCCCCAGACAACTGAGGAGGCTGATGGGACGATAACTGTAGGGCTTATTGGCTGGTTTATTCGGCTTGCGAATGCCGATAACCGTGGCTTGCTTCCAGTCGTCCGGAAAGGAGCAACTGGAGAGAAGGGTATTGAAAATTGTCGCCAGTAAACAGATAAGCGGCCCAGGGAGAGCTTTGAGAATCTTATTACTTATATTATCTGGGCCCGGGGCGGATTTTGGTTTTAAATTTTTAATAATATCTTGGACCTCTTCGGGGGTCACTGAATTTAAAGGTTCGCCTTCCGGTGGAAGCGCAGCCCTAGTCTCGATTACGCGGTCCACCTCCGTTAGGTGGGCCGAATCGGTGTGTTCGCGCGATGGCGTACATTGCTGCTCTAGGTTGTCCGCAAGGCATTCGGCTTTTTCGGAGTCATCTAGGGCTACTGAAGCGCTATTAGGTCTAACTAACGGCGGTAGAGATTCGCGGGGGTCTGCTTTCAGACTGCGGGCCAACCGCCAGTAGGCGGTGTGCGATGGCTCGATGTCCTCTAGGAGAGTGTCCCACGTTGTGTGTCGGTGTTCCGATACACGATCTTTGACTTCTAGCTGAAGGCGTCGAAGTAGGGTTCGGTTCGATTCCGATCGGTATCGGTCGAAGGCGCGTTTGGCTGCATTTTTTTGTCTAATTAGCAGTCGCAGGTCGGGCGGAAAGTTAAACCGTCGGTCGCCCGACAGTTTCACCGTCCGTTCCGAGTCTGTGACTGCGGAAGTAATAGTTTCACGGAGACTCGCTATCGCTCGATTTGCGTCATCGAACGTAGCTATCGTCTCGGGTAAGTCTACTAAGTCCTGGGGGTCCAAGGCCTTGAGTTTGACCTCAAGACGATGCCAGTCCACTACAGATTTGGTCGGAGGGACCGCGCCGGCGTTCTGGCCCAGTTTACACAGGACGGGCCTGTGGTCTGAGTCTAGTTCATGGATTGTCTCTATCGACTCGATGTCGAGCGAGACCTC